ATATATATATATATATATATATATATATATATATATATATATATATATATATATATATATATATATATATATATATATATATATATATATATATATATATATATATATATATATATATATATATATATATATATATATATATATTAAAATTTCTAATTTAGGGATTTACTATCCATTTTCAGCATCTAAGAATAGTCTAAGTTGATACTGGTAAACAAAAACAATAAGAATTGATTAAAAACATCCGGTTAATGGATAAAATTTTTAAAAATATTATAGATTAAAAATTATCGGCACTATATAAATTAAAGTAATTTCATATAATTTTAGTAATAAGTTGGGGTAGCCAAAATACATTCGTAACATTAATTGATAGATGTTTAAATCCATAGAAATGATAAAACACTATAATATTATACCTTAGCATTAATTGATTTTAATTTAGAAACTTTAATCTTTGACGTTAATAATATTTATAGGGTAAAAGAATACAAGGAATTACATATGGAGAAACTATTAGAATATTTAGAGATAACTTTAAAAGAATTGAGTTATTTCCATTGCAAATGGGAAAGTGATGGAAATAAATCTAAAATTCAGAAAACGTCAATGAATCACTTGAATTGGCATTAACATAAGACATATCTATTAATGAAGCACTGAATGAGTTACATTAAAAAATAATTTAATAACTTTATCCTAATCAAAGAAAAAATCTCCATGGAAGACATAAGAAAAATTAGTAAGTATTCATAAATTCCATACTGTGTTCTTCAAATTAAATATTAATATTATAATCTAAGAGAAATTGGTAATGAATAATGCAGGTATTTAGTTTAGATCTTTATGGAAAATGACAGGGATAGAGCAAAGGTAATATTATTGAAATAACAGAAATTCTTATTGGATGCACATCAGAAGAATTCATTTTAGAGGAAAATAAAGAGATAGCTTCTAATTTATTTAAGTAATAAATTAGGAACACAAAGAATTTTATATATATGAAATTAATATTTATTCTCATTGAAATAGAAAAAAAATCAAAGTCTATATTTTGAGCAGTTTGTGTTGAACATCATAAGTACATTTGACTTCTTTGTAAAGTTAAATGAGATGATAAAAAATTAACGAGCCTAGGAAAGATAATAGCATAAAAAATATAAAATTAGCCTGATGTCACAATTGATGTAGATGATGAAGACAATACTCTAGAATTGTCCGAGAAATGATAAATGATAAACCTGAAGAAGGATTGATCTTAACTCAATAAAAAATAAAATAGAAGAAATAAAAAACAATATTTTTTGAATATTTTATAGAATAGTTTAATTATTTTGAGTGAAAATAGGAATCTTTAGAAGGGAGTTTCATGAATTTTTTTCAGTACTTTTATATTCTTATGTGGATGTTTTTATCATATAAAAATATACTAGAGTTAGCATTAATCTTTAATTTATATTTTTTTATGAAGTCTATCAATGATTAGGAATAAACTTCATATTCTCTTTTGCATCGTTTTAACATACTTTAAATCAATCATTTTGCCATATTGGTTTTAATATTCACCTTCCTTGTATAACACTATTTTAATATTTTTCACTTTGCAATACTATACTTTCTCAAATAAAGCTTAGTTTCATATCGGTCAAAAATAATATGAAAATTTAAATTATTTTTAAATTATATTTGTTTTTTATCAATTCAAATATCAACATGAAAATTTAAATTGGGTGTATCCCATTTAAACAAACATAAAAAAATAATTGGGATGTAAGAGTTTAAAGAAAAAAATGAGCACAAACTGCCAAAAATACTTAATCATGATATTAAATCACGTGCATTGCACGTGTGTAAAAACTAGTATATATATATATATAAGCTGATGGTAAACAATTAGACTAAAATGAAGATGGGAGCATGGTCCGTTCTCTAGTAATTCCTTGAGGTTATAATGACATACCGAGTCTATATCAGGAACCTGGCCATATATGTTCTCCAGACTTTCAACTGCTACATACTCTCCTTGTGAAAGCTTAAAGATATTCTTCTTCCTGTCAATAATTTTCAAGCTTCCTTGTGGTTGCCATTCACCAATATCACCTGGATAGAAACTTCATAATTAAGATTGATTTTAATGAAATAGAAATTGGCTGTAAGAGTAAGAAATTGGCTATAGAAGTCAGAAACATAATTACACGAGTCCAAGTAATGGACAAAATCAACCATTTAAAAATAATGCACAGATGAAAACGTTGCCGGTGTTTGCAATCAATTATCAGAACTCGAGTAGAATCTTGCCATAAAATATTCGCTGAATAGCACTTCAATACCATATAGTTTCACTCACTTTGCATTTATATACCTCACTTGTTTTTCGTACAATTTGAGTTGTTTAGAATTGGCATGTTAGTACCTTATGTTATGCAAACGTGAAAAAATTTGTGCCGGATATTCTCTTATCATACTCGCATGCTAATTTTATAACTTTCTAACCATTAACTGTTTGTTGAATTTATTGTTAAACCTATTCCAATTCTATTTAAAAATAGACTTGGAATAGGTTTAAAATAGATTTGAGCTAGGTCTAATAGTAAATTCAACAAAATTAATGGTTAAAAAGTTCTAAATTAGCATAAAGTGTCACATTTGGTGAAAACTTTCATGTTTGTGTAATAGAAGGTACTAATCTGCCCGTCTTAAACAACTTAAGGCTTATAAATTCTACGGAAGAACAAGTGAGTATATAAGTGCAACGTGAAACTATATGGTATTAAGTGCTATTTCGCCTATAATCTAGATGCATACAGAAGGACCTAGAGATGAACGTCTATGATAGAACCAGCTAATACATAACATAAATAGAGTTTCCAAGTTGAGACCAACTATAAATCAAGGGGCATTAATTTAATTTAAAAAAACAGTAGGCAATTCCTTGAGTTATCAGCAAAACATCACCTTGTTCTACATAATTGCCATAAAAAGGAATTATTTTGTAATGCCATAAAATATCGAACCTGTGTGGAACCAGCCATCAATCATAACTTCATTTGTCAAGTCTTCTCGCTTGTAGTAGCCAGAGAAGAGTGTGTTTCCTCTGACGCATACTTCTCCACGAGGAGTACTTGAGAGAGCATCATACCCCATATCAGGAACTGACTCAAGGCGCACTTCCACATTTGGCACCGGAGGGCCCACAGTTCCGAGCATTGCCATGTTATTTGGTAGAGATACAAATGTTCCGGCACAAGTTTCAGTTAAACCTGCGACATCATTTAGTAGCACCAGTTATATTAGAGAACAAAGCTATTCAAATTCAGCACACACTGAATTCAGCATTATATCAGTAACCACTTCTTTATACAAATTGTGTCTCAGTTTGTGACAAATATGTAAGCACTGATTTGCAATGAATCAAGTTTTATAAGATAAACTTGAAAATTCAAAAAAGCATAGACTGGCAAAGAATAAGTGCAGGACACCCAAAAAAAAAAGAGATCCTAGTGGCTGTAGTATAGTTTATGAAAAATGGTATTGATTCTCAATGTAACTGAAAAATGATCCTTCGAGGTCCAACACGGGAAAAAATACAGAAAAAAATGCAATCACTTTGTAAGCATACCAAAAGCGTGACTTAAGACATACTATTAGAAAGTAGACAAAATCTAGGGTATTTTATTTGATTCACATCCCAACAACAAATTGCTGCTTGAAGAGCCTGATTTACTAGAGAATATGTATCAAATTGGACCCAGAATAGTTAACTGCACCCGAACCCAGAGTTCCCAGAGGACTATAGACAGAAACCCTATGCTCTAAGTAAATTTACGAGCATGTTATTATATCAAGAAGAGAGAAAATAGAGACGGTATGGAGGTTGAGATTAGGGTTTGAGAGAGTGGCTGTAATGGTTCATTGATTATTAATGGAAATGTCACCTGGTTGTATTTTGAGGACGTAGGTAATCACATTGATTGCCGAACCTCAATAAAATCAGTGTCTTGTAATTATTTCATTGTTCTTTCTTTCTTTCTATCATGGATCTGTGGTCAGGTTTTCTTGCTCCAAATTCTATGCACGCGCACGCGACAAGAAACCCCCTCCCTCTTCCCCCTCCCAACACGTGCTCTTCCATTTATTCCCCAGAAAACCCGAAAAGAATGGCAAGACAGTAAGAGCCCAAAAATTAAAAATTAAAAAATTAAAAAAAATAAATAATAACTACTCCTGTATGCTCTCCTCTCTGAAAAAATAGGGCCACACAGAACCAGAATAATACAGATATCATAGTGATTAGTGAGTTATGCTAAAACCCAGATCAAAATTAAGCTTCCTGAATATGTTTGTTTTTTTGGAAAAGTCTTGCACAGAAATGCTTGTTAAGATCTTTCCATAAAGACAAAAGCTAAATAGTTTTATTACAAATCTTGAAAAAAACAAAAATATAATCATTCACTTGCCACTCTCAAGCCACTTAAAAAGAGGAAATTAATGATTGAAAAATAATTGCACTTTTATAAGCTAAAAAGGAAAAAGGAAAATGCAAGCGACGGAAGCTTACAAGCGACGCAACCGTACTGCAATTTTAAAACTAAATACAGGCTATGTATGAAACCCTAATACCTCTAGAGATTGAAGAGTTACGGAAGAGGGAAAACCCAGGTTACGATCAAGGAAATTTCATTTGAATCAAGAAAAAGAAATCAAACCAAACATGAAAACAATAGATGAGACAAGTGCATACCATAGCCTTGAAGAACATGAGCGCATGAGACTACACGTAGAAATGCTTGCACATGGGAAGCAAGAGGCGCTGCTCCACATAAGATAATTCTTACACATCCACCTAAACCTTGCTTTACCTAGATTACAACAATGATCAAATTATAAATGGAAAACAGCTCTCCACTTTGCAAAAGAAATAATTAAGTCTATATTCTTCTGTCGTTTATGCACACCTTGTTAAAAACTAGTTTATCAAAACATTTTGCTGCTTCATCATGCTTGAATCCCTTCTTCATGAAATATTGCTTGCTGCAAAACCCCAAATATCATTTAAAGCAAAACATGGGATGTAAGGATACCTATTGAAGAAGAGCTTCACAGTAATCTTTTAATCAAGGAGCATCAAGTATTACCCCAAGAGAAAGACAAAAGAAACTTCATAATTCATACAATACAGTCAAGCAATCGGAACAATGATTTGTGAGCTTACAATTAAGAAACAAAGTTTATGAGAACATACTGATTTCAAATATATGACAACATCTGAGTGTAAGACCAGAAATGAACTACGAGGGCAGAATACACACACACACACACGGCGAAGTCACTACTAGGAATCTTATTGCCAAATATTTGAGTTGCACGTGAATTTTGTTCCCTTCATGGACCTTTCTCTAGAACCAGTCACACATTAATTAAATGAGCATGTATCATATCCTTTTGAACTGTCTCTTTTTCCAAGTCCTACCTGCTCTTTCAATTATCATGCTACTGCTCCAATTAAGTTACTCTTACAAAGGGAATATCAGTGTAAAATGAGGTTTAGGCATCAGTGATTGTGGATGAGCTTACAAATTAAAGGCGAGCTTAAACAAAGTTTGTTTTAGAAAACCACCAGATGATATCTTGTTCTGCAGACCTGGGATGAACAAATGGCAAATTAGAAAATCAGGACTAAAACAATCAAAAAAGATTTACAAACAAAAATATCTTCTTGAAACACAACTTTACCATGTTTCGTAAACATTGAAAGATGTCTTCAGGTTAGCCGGAAAAAAAAGGAATCTCAATTATCAAAACTCGAGATAAAGTGTAAACTCAAGCATGTGTTGAGATCTAAAGCATGTTAATAGATGAAGAGAACATTTCAAAAAAGATTTGCAAACAAAAGTATCTTCTTGAATCACAACTTTACTAGGTTTCATAAACCTTGAAAGATGCCTTCAGGTAAGGGGGGAAAGGGAACCTCAATTATCACAACTCTAGATAAAATATAAAGTCAAGCATTTGTTGAGATCTAAAGCATGCTAATAAGTGAAAACAACAATTTTTTTCCAAAAGATTAATATAGTTACTACTTCTCTTTAAAGTGTAACAAATAGATAGGAATGGAAAATGTGAATTTGGAGATGATGATGACGATGATCTAATGGATCCACATTTTGATGGAGAAGAGTCTTGGATTATAAGAATGACGTCGTGGTGATGATAAGGAGAATAGCAGGAAGGAAAAAGATTTTGTACAGTTTGTGGATCATCAAAATCTACCTCTTATGGAATTTCAACAGTAAGACAAGTAGACAATGCAAATATATAAAAGTATATATTATATGGTTTCTCTAACTTCATCAGTATAAGAATCTCATATGATCCCCTAACTTCATTCCAATGTAAAATCTCATATGTTTTCTCTAACTTCATTCCAATGTTTTATTTTGTTTATTTCTCTAGTACTAAAATATTCTAAGTCATATTTAACATCCTTTAAAGGAAAATTGACTCCAACCTCATAGCTTTTCGAATCAATCGCCAAATAAAAAAAATGTCTCATCGAAAAAAATGGTAATGATTTAAGAGGACCCTTGTTTCTACATGCATTTACTTCTATTTTTAAAATCCCCAAACTACCCATGTTTCCCTCATTAATTATCTAATTCTCTCATCTTTCCCACCAACATATCAACCAGTTCCCATCTATCTTGAGCTAAAAAAGTAACATAAAAGATACCAATCTTAAAATGGAAAATTCTGCGAACACTTCGAGCCTTCATACTGTGTGTCCTTGTATTGTTGTTGATGTTATAGATGTGGAGAAGTTATTTGCTCACAGAGCTTATACCACATAAAATATGAGCATATATAAGCAATGTTATAAATGGTGAATGTCAGGGACGTGTCATATGAAAAAAATCCATATTGCATGACTGATATCTAGGATATATCAGATATATTTAATAAATATTGGGGTTTCATGACATATGGGATAACGTGCGTGTATATATCATAGATATCCTTACTTGAAGCATGCAAAGAATGGAGCTATGGAGAAAGATAATACCTTTGCACAAAGTTTACAAAAGAATTTGGTCTCATTTGAGTTCTAATTGTTATTTCAGGTTATTTACATAAGGCACATTTGTTTGGATTTAGATCTAAATTGAACCATAAATCCAAACAATTTTTTGAAACAAAAAACAAGTTCAAAACAATATTGCAACATTTTGGCCACTTTTTTAGGCCAAAATATCACTTGATGTATTGGTAAAATACTCATGTATCACCCAAAATGAAAGAAAATGGTAAAGAATATTAAGACCATATTATTTTGCAGCAAGCCTTATAACTTATAAGAGGATATATCATCTGACTATATCTATGAGGTCATGGATATTTTAAAAAAATGAATACAAGAGAAGCACACCGGTCAAGGAATACAGTACACAGGTGCTTGACAATTTAACATTCCAAATCTGCCGAATTTTATAATGTTTCATCACAACCTACAAAACATTGCCATATGTGTAACAAGCAAGCTTAGAAGTATAACCATTTACCTGTATACACACGATCAAGTACACGTGGAACAGCACAAAAGATAGTTGGTTTTAGCTCCGCCATGTCTTCAGTTAGTAATTTGACATCCTGAAAATCTTTATCAGACACTGATATCTATATGGGTACAACATCGCACTATCTGAATTGCTTACCCCACGCCAAAATCCAATAGAAGCACCATGGAAAATAAAACATTCCTCAATCACACGATCAAATATATGTGCCAACGGGAGATACGATATATAAACATCCTTGGCATTCAACTGCAGTTATTATAAGAACTTAAAAAAATTTAGACCAGTGGGGAAAAAACGCTGCTGTCAACAGGAGGATATAATATATATTATAACTAGATGTCATTACACAAAGGCATACAATACTATAATGGATAGTAAGTAAAAAATGATCTCACCTGTTCATTTACGCAGCCAAGAACCCGGTTCACACCAGCAATGAGAGTGATGATACTATCATTAGAAATCAGCACACCCTTAGGATCACCGGTTGTTCCACTGGTGTACATTATAGTACAAATATCTGTTTTCTTGTTTGTTGGAAGATCATATTGCTGACCATCTCCCTGAAGAAAGAAGATACAGCAGGTTCTATAAGATTAAAGACTAAATTCCCAATATAATTGCAACTTCACTAAAGGATTGAGAGGTTTTTTGATTTCCTTTACTTAATTGTTATAACAAACTGCAAAAATTTAAAGTTTGTTTCAAGAGGATGATGAGTTTCATTTCTGACACAAGAACCCTATTTGCTTAATAGACAAACCATGCTATAAGTTTACAGAAGCCAATAGAAATTGCAGAAGAATTATATTCAATTGATTCAAAATTATGATCAGCAATGTTTATGAAATCCTACACTACAGGCATTTTTTCTAGCAAGAGTACGAAAAGGGGATAAAAAATGAACTTTCCATAACCAGAATTGTCTTTGTCATGGAAACTTTTTTTTAATTTTCTAGAATTTCCAGAGGCCCAATCACTACCTCCTCTTCTAAATTTCTAACTCCCTCCCAAGACTTGTGTAAATTGATTAGAAAAAACACTAATCATGATTTAAATTTTGTTTGGTTATTTAACTAATAACAAGTACTCAAAGCACAATGCTTATAATTAGTGATTCCATGGAACCATTCATGCTAACAAAATAAAAGAGCAAGTTGAACCTTTTCGAGACAAAAAAATGATAAACAAAAAAAAATCCAACTTGAAATGCTTTCTTCAATATTTTCTATGTAGATATTTTCTACACTTGGAAACCTCAGCATATAATTAAATATGCACTGTCATTTTCAATAAGGTTTACACTACGAGATATGACCTTGTGCATGACAAGTTACCTATGGGCAAACACATAAAATCAAGCTCCAGAATAAGGATGCCTAGAAAAACTCCCAATGGAATAATTTCCATCACTTTGCCTCCCTGGATTTAGATATCATGAATTCCTCTGTCCAAACAGAGGATATGTGATGATCATATGACCGCTTAACTTTGGTTTCCTGAAACACCCCTCAGCATTTGTCTTTAACTACAAAATTATTACCTAAAAAGAGCCAAAACTCGCGATTAAAAAAATGTGTTAGACTTTGAGACACCTCCATATTGATACCTATCTCAATTTGGAAAATGAAATCACCTAAAAAGCGACACTTTATGACCATGGACAAGAGAAGACGGTTGACACAATGTGACGATCTAAAAGATGTTTCTGAGGAGAGAAATTGTCTCCTACCATAGAGAAACAAGAAGAACAGACAAACTTCTGGGCAGGATTTGGGCAATAATTAGATTTTTTTTATATGTAAAAGAACAGAGGAAAGGAAAAGGAGAAATTTATTACAGGATCTAAAGGACACAAAGAGAAAGAACTAAAAATTTAGGATTTTCTGTAGGAAAAGCACGAGGATGTGAAAAGTTATAGATTTGCTTACTTAAAACAATTTTCTTTGCTAAATACATGGAGAAAAATGGGTTTCAAAACTTTACACAGGCAATGCTTGCGATCTAAGTTGCATATAAATGGGTACGGATACTGGTGGGCTGGTGGGTGTAAGGGTAGGAGACACGGCAAAATTGTAAAATGTAGGGTACAGAGACACTGATATATATATATATATATATATATAATAATTTACATGAGATCATTATTGTTTTTCAATTCACGTGTTACTAGAATTAAATTCCTATCATGTTTATAAGTTTTTTTATATGTTGATTATTATAAATTGGAAACTACTCGTATTTGAACTAAAGATACCCAAATTACCTTTTAAAAACACAGTTTTGAAGTTGGGTTAGGTATGGGTCGAAATGAACCGGACCTATGTCTAACAAGTTTCAAGAAATGGATGTGAGCACTATGAAGTGTAAGATATACATCCAAAAAGTGTTTGACAAGTGTTTTAAATTAAAACATATATCATATATTGGGTACATGTCTGAAAAATGTATGCACATATCCAATGAGTGTTCATGAAGTTTGGGTATGGATAAGTGTCGGATACATGTCGGGTATGGGTACAGCTTCATGATTGAAGAACCCGGGTCACATAGCTTGTGATAAACAAATATGGATCACAAACTGACTACAAACTTAATACATGAAAACCTACAACTGTTTTCTCTCTCCAACTAGGAATCACATAGATCACTGACAATTAAACGAACAGTATATTGTAAATTAATCCTAATATATAACATGAATAAATTTTAGGGAAAAAAGATAAAATATAACCACGACCCCACAAAATCCATCTCTAATTTTAATGCTAATGCTAATTCTGAAATCCAAAACTTTACAAGTCATTCAAATTTAACCAGTGTTTCACATGAATAAAGGGGTCAAACCAGTAATCCACTTGATCAAAGTAATCCATCTTCTTGTTAGAAAAGATATGAACATCAAGTAAAAGTAAAAGCTTTAGGTGATCGGAGCTCTGATGAGGGTTTATATGATGATGGTGACCGCCATCAAGGACAGTAAGAGAGAAGAATCATATTTCACCAATTAGAAATTTTCCCCCTCCATTTTCTTATTGACAGGTAAGAGTGTAACCAGAGTATAGATTTTGGTGAGATATTCTCAATTTTTATGCCCCCTCAAGTATATTAGTGTGTTCCCTTCTTTTCCCATAGATGTAAGTCAATGTCGAACCATATTATATAGTTGTTTTCTTCTTCCTAGGCATGATCTCAATATCTCTGGCACTTGTATCACGATTCCAAGTTTTTTGGCCCATCTACTATGTGCTATGTCAAATCAGAGATTTTGAGATGAAAGAAGAAAAAGAAAAAGAAAAAAGAAAAAGAAAAAGGATCAGTTACCACAGGGTCTAGTCATCTAAAGAAAGAAAAGAGAAGGGACTGCAGGATTTGAGAGAGGAAGAGCAAGGGATGAGAAAGCTCCTCTAACTGCTTACATTACAAATTTTGCCAAAGACCTAAAGAGATTGAGGTTTCAAATTGAGGGAAAGGATAAATAAAAGAGGGGGAGGCAGAGAATGGATTTTTTAAAGAGTTTTAAGAAAATTAGAGGCAAGAGTATCGCTTGATCATCGTTACTGGACCAAAAAAAACCAACATTGTAGTTTAAGCAACATAGTGCATAACCTCAAAAAAAATGAAGTGTAAAGGGCTTTTTAACAACTTACCTATCTCCTTTATAGATATTTATATATAAAAGTAGCTGCATAAAGAAACCAAAAATGATGATAAATTAACTTACCAAAAACAAAAACTCTTCCCAAGAGTATATTGCCAGGCCGAACTTTTCAACTTCTTCTTTTTGCTCAGGGGTAACTTTTCCAAAACTCACAATAGCTGTAAATTAAAATGGTAGGATTAAATTATACAGTCAAAACACCTAACAAGAAAGAAAAAGGAAAACAACCATATATATCTTACTTTTCAAAAAGTTGGTGGTATTGGGAAATGTCTTCATCAGCTGGAAAGATAAAACATTTGGTCATTAGTATTAAACAAATTCACAATTCATGTAACATTAAGATTTGAATGGAGAAAATCGCTATCTAATGCTACAATCTACCACCACACAACCCTTATAAACCAAATATTTTTCAAAGAAAGAAAATGTATCCAGTTTGAAGATGCAGGACATTGCTTTCCCAGGATACCAAAAAAAAAAGCAGCCAGCGCACAAGAATAAAATTGAATAGCTTTTCTAAACACCATACATAATTAACACACTTAGCCACACGTAGATGAAATCATGTGTCATGAGACTATGTGCAGCTACGGTTCATGTAAACATAACCTGCTTCATCTATACAGTATAAATGAACAAGTGTCAATATTCAACAAATACTCCCTGGTTCATATTTATCTGGGTGATTATGCTTTAAAAAGAGGGACAAGGAGAAAAACAAAAGACCTTGATGAGCCATAAACTAGTTGCTAATCAGTTCTAAAGTGACTTTACGTCTTTCTAATTAAATACTACATAGGGTGTTGTGGATGGTGCACACTTGATGATACTTAGGAAACTTGGATGCAATCTCAATCTCAATCTCAATCTTATTTTCATGCATTTAAGTTCATTATACAGTACAATTTCCACAGTATATTTACTACATGTTTTATAATTTCAAAAACAGGTTAAGAGATAATTGAAATGATGGCAATGATATGAGTTTATGATATTCAATTAATATTTGTAATAACACCAAATAATAAATTTCATGTCTAAAAAAAATATCCTAAATAGTAAACTTCTGGTGTACCTATTGCCCCTGCAGCATATTTGCAGACTTCATATAAGAAATGTAATTTAAACCATACCTCTGAAATTTTTTTCTCTTCAACAAAAGCAATCTCAACTTCCGCATGACAAATAATAAATTCGATTGCACCAGCACCTAGAACCAACAAAGGTAACCATCCATAAGGAATTATCTCATATTGAAGTATCATGGGGAAAAGAATTCTAACAAACAATTGCATCTTGTGATATGCATGTATAAATAACACTGAAGTATTGTGTCCCTTTATTAAGTTAATATTTATGTATGTATGTGCATTGACGCATATGCACAAAATTGTGTGTGTTCATGGATGCACAAAACATCCCTTTGTTTCCTTATTAATTTTTTGTTCAGTTATTTTAGTTTGTGACCTGGAACTGCTTTTGCCATGAATTGCCAAAAATTCTTTAAATAAATTAGCTAGACACGCTTATGCCCTGCTAGTGCAGAGTTATTTTAGAGAGGCTGTTGTACTGGCTAACCTCCTACAAAGTACAGAACTGTGGAATCAATTTCAAAAGTATGTTCCTTGAAGGAAAAAAAAATCAAAAGTACAAAATATATTGTGTAAACGAAAAAAGTTTGTATAATTCATTTTCGAGAAATAGGAGATCTGTTTCTATAGGCAACGATTTTTGTATCATGATGATTTAAGAAGACGATGATAACATGAACATCAAACATGAGAAGGATAATGAGGGGAGAAGGAAAATAGAAAAAAAAATTGTCATTGAGTTCTCCAAATAACTTCCGCAATTCCTCTATTCAGAAAGGCAACCAAGTAAAACACTCCAATTAAATGCTAAATGCAGTTCATATAAATGACAAAATAACTGCTGTGCCATCATTAGAAGTTATGCTAGCTAAGTCCATTAATATAATAACATCAATGTTAACGACAATAACAACTGCATACCAAGAGTATCATACAGTGGAACACAGTATAGCCCATGAGCATTACAAGCCTGCAGCATAGAGGCCACATGACAAATGTTAGATAAACCAAATGACAGTTTCACATTGAAAAAACTAAACAGAAGTCCATGTTTACATCACAAAGAGAAATAATTACAGCTCAACAGATACTGGAAACAGCAGAAGGGTTAATCTATATCTCAAATAATGATGTACCTCCATACTGATGATCCATTCGGGACAATTAGCTCCATAGATACCACAACGCCCTCTCTGGAGGTGAAAAAAGATAGGAAAGGTCATATTCAAATTCCAAATGCAAGATTGATACTATGCACCATTTCCATTAATTATTGACTAAATTAAAGCACAAGAGAGATGCAAACTTAGACCCTGAGATAAATGAAATATGCCCATACCGTCATATGAAAGATATTTAATAAATTATCTGTTTTATGTTATATGTGCACATTGTAAAAGGGAGGACTTACTGAGAATTTACCTGTTCTCATACTACCCTGACCCCCATGCTTGACAACAGAGTTTCTATAGTGATTCTTTCTCGCGATTGAGTTATTGTTAATCCTTGAAATTGGAATATAAGAAATATCATTCTAAAGTATAAATAATGGATCTATCAGGATTGTTACATATTCCCTCATCAATATTACAGCGTCCTTGTCAGACAAACCTCTCCTATATAGGCATGTGTGCCTCAAAAATTCTAAAATGGTCCTGAGCACGCCGCTTTTATTTTTCTTCAATCGCTTCTTGTGGATTACTCTTATCAAAGTAACCTTAAACATGGAGTTCCCTAACTGTTTATCTGAAAACCACTGATCTCATTAACACTACAGTTCATCATACAAACTAGTATATACCTTTTTACTGTACAACAAACGTGGGACTATTCAACTCGAGATTGTGAAATCTGTATAGTCAAAAAGATCCAGATAGCAAACTTCTTATAAATATAAAGTTAGGTAATGAACAAATTCTTGTAAATATAAAGTCAGGTAATGAACAGTTCCACAATTTTACTTAGCTACCAACTCCGTCCCAACTTACCTATATCTAAAACTAAGCTAATCTAAAACTAAGCTAACTTCCACTAGGCACTAGTTCACCTTGTGTAGACCAGGATAGGGGTAGAAAAAAGGTGGGAAGCAAGCTATATCTGGTCTTCATATTACTGTTCTTGTAGTAGTAAGTAGTAATACATACATTGTCACATTCTTGCAGCTGCTGAATTTAACACCTCCTTTATCCCATCTATTTTAAACAACGAAAAAGGAATTATCCTTTTAAATTGAATCAAAATACACTAATCATATGTAAGATATACATAACCAGCAAGCAGAAGGTTGCTCCAATTTAAGAGAGAAAAACACTGACAGATGCTAAACATACGTGTATCAGTACCTAGGTCCATTTAGCTTTATTCTTTATTGATGTTTGTATTTATTAATCCATCACTATTAGTGCACCCAAACATCATGTTATGGTCTACACATCACCTTTTAATCTTTCTATGATTATAGCTCCATTACAAGATGAGACCTGAAGAGTATATATTTGTCTTTTGCCTTAGTAGAATCTAAGAATAGTTCTATTCATCTGCAAATCTTTCATTTCTGTTAAATGGTAATCAAACGAAAAAGTATGTTATGGAAAAAAGGACATGATGCAAGGTCAAAACGAATGGTCGTCATTACATTAAGATAGGAATTTTTTACTTGATTATTGCTAAACATGTGAAGAAGAGAGTGATTCTTATAACAAAAGATAAAACTTACATAACCAACACCACGGCTGCGAATGGAAGCCCCAACTTTGATCACGATGTCATACACCTCTTTGTAAGTCATCCAAACATATCCGCCCGCCTGCAAGGGGGAAAAAAGAAATGGTAAAAAAATAAAACTGAGAACTTGGAATAAGTTGGATAACTGACATCAAAATTCTTTTGTCAAATTAGTATAAGCATATATCATCACTTCAAAATGTTTTCACGAAACTTTTAGTAAAAAGACTACTACAACAAGTCATTTGTTATTTGTCTTTTTAAGAGGAGAATGGTGCGTTTCTTGTTTTTGATGGATGCTGGAGATGAAATTAATAGAATATATGTAATTATTCTTGTGATATTGTAAATCAGTTATATTTGGTGTATATCGTCTATATTAGGTTAGCCAAATATTAGGTTATGTAAGTCAAAGATTATCTTAGATTATAACCATAACCGTAGCATAGTACTGTTGTATATAATGCCCTTTGATCAATCAAAAAAATCAAGCGATTATGTTCGAATATGGTATCAGTCGCTTAGGGTTACTCTATCCTGGTATCCGCCGTTTGCCCTAGCCTTCTTCCCTCTCCTCCTTCTCTGTTGTTCTTCTTTCTCATAATCATGGCTGATAAAATTCATCCTGCAACCACAGTCACAAATATCAAGCAAGCCATATCTGCTGTTCTCGATCTCGAAGGCAACAACTACCATAATTGGGCGACTCTCTTCAAGCTTCATGCCCGTGCCAATCTCGTCTATGACCACATCATTCCCCCACCGGCAGATGCGACCAAGACATCTGCTGCTACGGCCGAAGACAAAGCCCTCTGGAAACGGATAGATGCTATTGTCCTTCAATGGATTTATGGCACAATTTCTTCCGATATTCTCAACACCATCATCGACCAGGATGATGAGGCACGAGATGCTTGGACCAAAGTGGCGGATTTGTTCCACGACAACAAAGCCACGAGGGCAGTCCACCTCGAAGGGGAGTTTACCACCACTCATCTCCGTGACTTCCCTAATGTCTCTGCCTATTGCAACCGTCTCAAGATGCTGACCGATCAATTAGCTAATGTGGGAGCGAAGGTTTCTGATGAACGTATGGTTCTCAAGATGATTAGAGGATTAACTGAGGCTTATAAAAACTTGGTGACCAACATCCAACAACGTGATCCTCTACCAACATTTGCAAAAGCTCGTTCCATGCTATCACTCGAAGAAAGAACCATGAAACAAATGGTTGCACTTGAATCAGGTTCGAATTCGACTTTAATTACGAATTCTAATATTGATAATATCTCTGCTTCTCATTCAAACCAACACCATGAAAATTCCGACAATGGCTCCAGTGGTGGCCGTGG